TGCGTGCTGATTGAAACACAACCATCCGTTGAAAAAGTGACACGTTCCACTTGAATCTAGCCGTTGTTCTTTATTGATGTGTTCGATGTTTAGCTCAGTGATGTCGGGCGTCGTCCTGCAAGAGGCCTTGCAGTTGATGACCAACCTCGAGTTCGATCAAAACGTTTGCAGGACTGAAACTGGTGGTTCCAAACATGGTTCAGTGAGCAGCTACATCACGATTGATTACGTTTGCCAAACATTCAGTTTTCAGCGTTGAATGTGATTTGATTGGTTTCTTGAAACAATGTTCTTCCGCCATCAACCGCTTTGGATCAAGTCACTTGACTCTTGACTCACGACACTTCGCCAGACACCTGTTGCATCGCACAAATGGCCCTGGTGAACGATAATCGTGCTGCTCAGATTCCGGTGGGCATCGCCGTGCTGTCGAAGGATCAGTGGGATGCGTGGTTGGCAACACCATCTGGCAGTGATCATTTGACAGAAACTTGATGTTGATTTGGCATTGGACTTAATTTGAGGCCTGGTTCTTTGAGGTGTCTCGGTGACAGTGACTTATCAGTAGTGTCATTTGATGCCTTTGACATGTGTCATGTGTCATTTGAGGATAGTGACACGTGGCCGTTGACATTAAAGTTGCGGCTCCACAAGTCACCTTTGACAGCTGCCCTGTGGAAAGTGCGTGAGGACGCCAATGCCTTGAAGGTCAGCTTGTCATCTGCCACGAAGCACAAGGCCAAGTGTTTGCGGAAGACTGACCTTTTGACAGGTGGCTTTTGGCTGTGCGATGTCACGTTGCCAGATGACACGTTCCGCGAGTGGTTGAAGAAGGGAACGCTGGTACGTGACCAGGAAGAGTCCTTCACGTGTTACATGGACTTTTTCAAGATGATGAAGGAGCCATTTTGTCAAATGACACCTGCCATGTGGCAGTTGGAGGAGCGGCCATGGATCCACGCATGTGGGACGAGTCCACCAGCGCCACAGTGGACGTTCTACGTGCCGCTTGACAAAAAGACGTGTGACATGATGTTGCCAGAGTGCTGGGCCTGGATGGAAGCAGCCAACCATCGTGACATGTGGGCACTGCTCAAGAGGAATCTTGATTTCTGCTTTAACAGTGATTTTTGTGTTTGTCATTGTTGTTTTAATTGTAGCTGGCGCGTTTTAATGATTGATTGAAGCTAAGAGGCATGCTGGCCGACGCGGTGGCAATTGGCCTGATGAAGCAGTCCCAATGTTCGAGAAGAAGAAGGAAGCTGTGATCCTCATGGCATGCATGTCATATGACAGCAACCGCATGGTCACCGTGTCAGTGAACGCAGCCACAGCGTCCAAGTTCATCAGACCCATGCCAGGGATGATGGATGTGTGGTACGCGCCAGAGGACGCCTTGCGCGAAGCAGCTGGCAGCTTGCAATGGTCCGTGTCATTTGTTGACTTGAGCACCAAAGCATCACCTCACAGCCGTGACAATTGCAAGATGGCATTCTTCCACGAGAAGAAGAGAAAGAGTGATGCATCAGCTGTCATTGACAGGACAGACGGACTGCTGTGGCTTCTTTTGATTCGGGTAGTTGATCGCCTTGCTTAAAATAGTCGATTTTATATTCATTTGATATTCTAGATTGATTTTCGCTGTCAAACCAAGTTCATGTTCAAGAACAATCTGATCCAAATCAAACATTTGATGCAAATCACGCGCAGGATCAACGAAGACATTGAGCGGACAGATAACATTTGCAAGCGCCTGAAGACCATCAAGGAGGAACTGGCGGCTGGCACGTTGAGCAATCGAACGGCGTTTGAACAGCACAGAGAGCTGGGTTTGATGCTCCAGTGACTTGTGATCTGTGACCGTTTGGCGAGTGATGGCTCCTGAGTCTGCCACCACATGTCGCCTGATTTTGAATGATGCTGCGATGTAGGTTTTTGTTGATTGACGCCTAGGCAGCTACAGCTAATATCGCTGGCCATCTCCCTGAGTGAAAGTTACAGCTGGAGTTTCAGATTCAGATGTGAGTCATGTAAGTGTGAGAATGCGAAGTCGCTTTAACTTGACGATTGGGTTTTGTCACAAACCAGTGCATCTTTGAGATCTCTGATGGTTTGCAGGATTCAGATGACACAGCTGGTCAGAGGCAGCGTTATGAACATATCGAATGAGTTGGATTACACTCATCGCGTTTCATAATTGACACTTGAGATGATGCATTTCACAAACAGGTTGCTCTTCGAATTCCAGTCACTGGTGCTAATCCTTAATTTGCCTTGATTGAGCCAAGGTGGCAGTTATTAACAGTGATAAAGTGTTCAGACACATGACTCTTGGAATCTGGATGCGCTGCTTGATTCAATTCATGACGACATCCTGCACGCATGGCCCTGACAGGATAGTGCCGCTGCCAAGCTTTGTAGGACGTCTGAGTGAGGCAACTTCCACGTGTTGTCGTGCTTTACTGTGTTTGGATATTCAGCATTTTTCTTTTTGCGTTCACGGAAATACGGTCTCACAAAGAGACGCTGAGCCTTTGAACTGCGCGCCAGGCTGACCTGCAAGTGAATGCTGCGTATGACAAAGCTGGTTGCCACGTGACACGTGACACTCTTTGAACATAATTGTTCGTATAGACCAGGTGAATCAGGCAGCTTCATTTGAATTTGTGTCACAGTTTGACATTTGACAAATCACAGTGGCAATTCAGATCCACTGCAGCGCAGCCGCATCAGATAGGTAGTCGCTTGCGAACTCAGACCAGCATGGTGGGCTGTTGAATTTGTGACCCTTACACATGTTTCTTTCAAATTTCATTCAAATTCATTCAAATTTAGTTCAAATTTTAGTCTTGCAAATTTGAACTAAATTTGAATGATTTTGAATGAAATTTGAAAGAAAACCATGCATTTTTGCAGTTTTGTTGATTAAAGTGCTACAAACACCAGTCCCAGTCTGGCCTGAACTTGGCAAATTGTGGCTGGCACCGCGTAGAATGGGGTCGCCAGACTTTGAGCCCGGCGCTGAACAACCTTGAACAGAGTGGTTGTTCAGCGCCGGATGGGGACAGGAGACATATGACAGCTTGACAGGAGAAAAAAGGCTGAAACAAACCCACGTTGAAACAAACGGTGATTGTCAATCATTTGATGTTTTCCGGTGGCAAGGCCCTTCCACTTCTGCCGGATGACAATTGCCACATGAACATTAATCACATGCTTTGATGAATTAAATGACAGCCAAACGTTTTGGCAACGTCAATTGTCATGACCTGGATGCTTAATGTCCCTGAATTGGTTACCCTTACACATGGTTCTTTCAAATTTCATTCAAATTCATTCAAATTTAGTTCAAATTTTGGTCTTGCAAATTTGAGCCAAATTTGAATGAATTTGAATGAAATTTGAAAGAAACCTATGCATTTTTGCAGAGTTTGTTATTCTATCAACACAAGGCTTTGCAAACACCACCATCCCTGCATGACAAAAAAGATTTTTCAAACCAGTCGAAACGTCCACCCAGTTACCGTTGGGGTCGCAAGATACGACAAGGCTCAACATTGTCCATTCCCTGTTCTCGTGTTCTTCAGGATCGATGTGGCTACACTGAAGAGAAGAAGAATCCAGTCATCCGGTCGATCAATCCACCCTAAGGATCCACTGCCACCGTACTTCAGAAGCTAGGCGCCAGGACCCTCCAAGATCGCCTACATCAATAGTCTCCCTGCTCACCGTACCGACCCTGTTCGGTGGGAGTGGATCCATAGGGCCTGGAACGGTTCAAGCAAGGTGAACCGAACCAAACAAGGTGAACCGAACCAAACGTTCAAGTGTTTGATCCATAGGGCCAGATCAAACAAGCTGAAACGTTCAGAACCGCAAGGAAGAACGTCATCGAGACATCTCGAGCGATATCACGATGTCGACTCCATCGACTCACATCCTCCATCCAGGGGACCCCTCCACACGGTTGGATGGTCACACGGGGACCGAGGAGACGAAGTGGAAGAGCGTATCAAGGGCAAGAGTGGCAGGTGGGGTGGCACTTTTGCATACTTAAAAAACAGGGTCAATTAAGGTATCATCACCCAAAAATAATGGTGATGCTGAACTTGAGAGATTTGTGATGGTTGGGTCTCCGAAATGGCTTTTGGATGACTGAAAATACGTTGCAGATGGTGACCTGGCGCTCCTGTGAACTGGTTGGAGAGTAACCGGAGGTGCTCATGGCCCATGTGTCGGTCAAAACCTCACCATTCAAACCATGGGGTTCGGTTGACCTCCCTTCAAAGGACTCTGTTTATTTTTGGTGGGTCGGGCCCAGGGGCTCAGGGGGTCCTGGACCCACAGCCATGTGATTGCATTGGCTGAATCAATCAGCCACTCAGGTCCGCCGGCTGCAGTCTGCAGATTATCTTAAATCAATCAAGGATGTTAATTGATTGTTCAATCTATAATCAATCTATAAACCTTTTGAAATTGGACTTTAGATTGAGGAGCACCTCCAAATAATTCCTACTAAAGATCATAAAGCGGTACATAAAATAGATGTGATTTAGAGCCATAAAAGACATGTGATTGAGAGCCAGAGCAGTTACTATTTATATTATAACATCATATAACCACCGTGTAACACAAGTTTATCCTCTTCTATCTTACGGAGATCTTTTCAGGGACACCAGCGAAGACGAACTTACATGGAAGTGGATGGCATGGGCACCTTCCTTGCGGGGTTACCCATGGACAACCTGACACTGATGGATCTTGACACTCGATGGGACTGCCACAACTGACACTCGGGCCAGGCGGGTATGTAGGGGGGGTGATCGTGGTCGTAGGCATCAATTCCAGTCCCACAGGTTCTGCTTGGTGTTTGGGAGTCCGGCAGAAACCGCCAAAACTGGGAGAAGGCCAAGCCCCAAACTGTTTGGGGCCTGGCCTTTCTTCCAGTTTTGGTAGTTTCTCCCGAGTCCTTGGCTGCCACGGGCTGCAAGTTATGCCAGGCTTCGAGTGGTGGCCTTGGGGAAGGGCGACCAGGGTTCTGTGGCCACGCTGGTGGCGGACAAGAAGGAAGCCAAGTGGATGAAGAAACACTTAGAAAGCGTGGTGAAGAAGATCTTGGATGACGTGGAGGTGTCGTGGATTTGTGGAAAGAGCGGGGCAGGTCAAAGATGTGTGATGTTTTCTTGAAGGGCAAGCCTGAAGGTGATTGTGGGCTGATTTGGTGGTTTCACAGCATGATGAAGTCCCCATTGTTTGAGTCTAGCAGCAGATTTCGATAGGGTGTTGAGTAGTAAGGAGCGGTATTTGTTCAGAGTTTTGAAGATTTGGTTGCCAGTGATTGTTGCTCCAAAGAGAGTCAAGTGGCAAAAAGCATACCTAAGCAGACCATGACCCACCGGGTGGTTCTCTTATGTGGTCCTCCCCCATTTTGATATATTTTGATATGAAGGGAAGGGGTATTAATCTCAATTTGGCTTGGGGTGATCAATATGTTTTGCCCCGTGGGTGAAGCCCCCTTTGGGATTAGTCTTTTTTGTTCTGGTTCCTGCACAGGACCCTTGCACAAGCCTGTGCGGACGCATGTATTGTGTTGTTGGTGGGATTGAGGGTTGCTCAATCGAGAGGGTCACTCACCCACATGTCCATTTTTTGGTGGGGGAAGAGAAGTTGGGAATTGCCTCCCGTCCTGCTCGTGACAGGCCTTATTGTGTTGACGTGTGACATACCTGACAGGATGTGAATGCCTCAAAGAAAATTGCATAAAACTCTCTACATTTCCTGGATGATGTGAAGATATGACTCAGGTGTGGTTGATATGCCTGAAGAATTGTAGATCATAGGTCATAGGATTGTGGCAGTTCTGTCCTCTCTGTTGCATCACCAGTGCCTCCTGCCACTCTTTCAACAAGTTTGGCATCACCGATGCGTCGCTTCTGTTGTTCCAAAAGCCAAGGTAGCATCGGTCCAAGACCACTCAGACTCTTGCCTTGACGAGCCTTTAGGCTTGCGTCCAGTAGTGGGAGGGGATGATTATCCCACAGTTGTGTTTTGAAATGCCATCCTGAAATCTAGCGGGTGCTTGACACCCAAATATCCTCAAACAAAAGTATATGTTTCTTGGATACAGTAAAGTCATGGTAGTAAAACCTCCGGAAAATTGGCGTTGCAGATCGGCTGATGTTACTTTCCCTGTGTGTGTTCGTCCCCCGACATGAATGTCAATGTGCTTTTTCTCAGCGTCATCAGCATGTGTTTCAGACCTACACCACCAAAAACACATCAAACGTGCAAGGAATGAACGTGAAAACTACCAGCACCTTCCAACAGGTCTCCTCTGGTGGCCTTTGGAGACTTAAAGGTCGCAGGTGGTGACCTGTTGGAGGGTGCTGGTAGAGTAAAACATGTTTTCCTCCACTTGGAGGACCATGGTTGGATTCACGTCCAGGGTCCTCCCGTTCGGCACCTCATTGGGGGGAAAGAGATCCTCTGGTGAATCCAAACGGAACATCGTCCAGGCCCCAACAAATCATGGCACATGGCAAAAGCGAGCTACATCGGGGGGGGGGTTGTTCAGATGTATTTAAGGGTCAATATATATAGGTCCAAATTCCTGTTAGGGCAAGGCTCCATTCTTCACAGTACCATGGGATTGTAAGGTCCCCTGTATTGTTTTTGGAGGTATGAGTTGGGTCTTTCCCAGCAGACCTGTAACAGCCAGTCAGACACTATTTTTTGAACTAAGGCCTGCCACTTAACCATCATCATCCGCTGGGCCCTGGGTGTTTGGGATTCACCCAAGGTATGAGTTTGTCATAGCTTGGGCTCCAGACACCACCTCGTGCCATTCCCACCCTTTATGTGCCACACGTCTGACGTTTCCATCGGTTTCCAGCGGCGGACTTCCTGCGGTGGGCGCTTGGTGGATTGGTTCAGAGAAGTGACCTGACGGGAAGTTCCGTATCATTGACGGCGTCATCGGGAACAACGCCGGAACGATCCACTCACAAAGGGGTGGTGTTTAGTCCCATCCAGTGAGTGGAGAATGGGCACCCCTAACCTCCAAGTTCGGCACCCCTTTGTGACCGCTGGCATACGGACCTGCAGGACCTTTTGGATTGTTCTAAAACCGGCTTTTAGACTTGAACATCTAAAACATTCTAAAACACCACCTTTCCTGGTCTTTGACGGCTAGGGTTTTTGTTCAAGCATATCAATGTATCAACGTTTGCCTGGATGATTTGGATGATGATGCCCGACTCACTGTTGCTTTCAGCCAAATAGAAACCGCTACTTCATCAATGGGGTGAACTGTTATTTTCTCGGCCATGTTGCGGCTGGACCGAGCTCTTTTGAGGAATATTTGGACTTGGACTTCAGTATCGATGTCATGAAAGCGGGCAAGGGCCGAGAAATCGTCGATGTGCTCGCAGTGCCCGAAACCAGCATGAAGATTGCGGAAGCTTGGCATGTTTTCGTCGGCTGGGAATGCCCAGTCGTTTGACTGACAGAGTCACAGGTCATTCTCTAGCATGCAACGTGCGCAGGACAGGGATGCAACAGGGGGAGTCACCAACGGTGAGGACACACCAGACTGGTCGAGTGGAAATCAATCACAAGGCTTTTCAGATCATTTTCTCATACCCAGGATCCGTGGACATAGCCATGAGCGCCAGCTTCGAGGATTTGTTTTCGCTACTAAAAATCGACAGGTGGAACATGATTAAATATATCAATCATCTTCGTTTTCCAGGGAAACTGAGGGGGTCAGATCTCGAGATCTCATGATCTCGGCTTTCCAATTGGTCATAGATCACATATTCCAATTGATTAATTGTTTTACATATCTTCCAACATAGCGTCCTATACAATATTGGTTCCCTGTTGGGAAAAGCAAAGCACTTGAAAGTAAAAAAATAAGACTCTACACGGCCCTTGTGTGGTCTTCCAGTGCTCCACGGGTTAAAGGTAATTTGGAGCTTTGCCCGGTGGAGCGTTTCAAGAGACGCGTGAATTCCTTGCTTTAAGGTCACTGCTTCGCTAGGTGGCGCGACATGGAGCTTTCGCGAGCTACCAAAGGGGGGAGCCACGGGGGTATCTATGCACACAGGAGCTACTGTTCGGAGCGACCAGAGGAGGTCCCCAACCCGAAATGCTCCTTGGGTGGGGAACCAGGACGATTCTTCTCTTTGCACGTTTCGACGAATGCAGGTCACCCCGTCTCACCTGCCAGGTCACCCACCTCCGACCTCCGACCTACCGTGTGCATTGAAGGCCTCCATAACTCGGAGAGTTATGAGTCATGTGCTGGCAATGACTGACTGGTGCTTAGCAGGGAATGAGGGAATGGATCCAATAGAATCTCTATTGGGGGCTCATTCCCTTATTCCCTACTAAGCACCAGTCAGATGATGTGTGATATTTCATGATCAATCCCACCAATATATTGGTTGAAACCACCAACCCACCAACCCGTCAATGATGATGGTGGTACAAAGTCAACCGCATGTCTCAGAAGGTCCCTAGGGTCCCTACGACGAATATTATTTTGAAAGCCCCTTATAAATCACCTTGAATCAATTCCCACATGCAAAGAATGATTTCGCTCAATATACTTTAGGGTATAGGACACATCCTACTCTTTCTCAACCCTTCCAAAAAGCTCTGCCCCGACACAAAAAAACAGCGGCACAGCATCACACCTACCACCACCAAGCCACTTCGCCCAAACCTCACTCCACGCGGAAACCACCTCACTCTCGCGGTCGCAGAACGCGGCTTCACGCGGCTTCACACCAAGGACACCATGGCGATCATGCGTGGCATCGACACCAAGGTGCAGGTCACCTGTCCCGCCGCCTCGCGAAAGCTCGCGGACTTGGAGGTCTCTGTGTCCCTTGGAGGAACCGATCGTTCCTCACGTTCGCACCGGGGTGCCGTTCGACCCGAGGATGTCGGGGTTCACATCTACCTCCAGGAGCCCTGGGTGAGACTCAAAGAAGCCACCCAACTCCATGTGACTCCTGGTGTTTGTCCTTTTCGTGTTTTTTGCAGGGATGGGGGCGGTTTTGGGGGGTGACACGAGGGTATCTTGTTGGACGGGGGGGTGGTCTTTAGACCCTTTTCTTCTTAATGACCTTATGTGTGTTTTGTTTTGTTTTGTTCGAACAAGGACGAAGTTCTATTTATTACCGGTTGAAAGTCATAACGCCTTTTTGTGACCCGTTACCCTAGAAGTCCAAAGACTATATTTTGACCGGCTGAAGTAAAGGAAGTTCCCTTTCAGGTCCCCTAAAGACCATTTTTTTAAAATAGTCTTTGACTTCCAGGGGCCAAACCCAAAAAACAACAATCATACACACGCCTGTCTGTGGTGGTTTTCCGCGGTGGCATCCACCATCGCCGTGCGACTCGGACGGCCATCCAGGTCCGACCTGTTGGTGCTGAAAAGCTCATTGACAGAGTAATGTAGACTAGGACCATACACCAGACATGAATTGAACATCTTCTTCAAAGGGAAAGTGAAATATAGATCAAGAGTCTACATCAGTTGGAGTTGGACCCACAGTCCAATGTCTTATGACGTTGGTGACCAGCGACGTCGTGCTTTGCCGCTGCCAGTCACGTCGCCCGCCCGTCACGTGCACGTCGCGGTGCACCATGGGTCAGACCAACGGTCCAAGATGACCCAGACGCGACCTGTCTGGGACTGGAATAGGACTGCCTTCAAAACGGTGTATGGGGTGGTGGTGCTTTTGGGGGGTCAATGTATATCGGCACAAATTCCAGTCCCATTAGTCGTGTATGGGTGAGGTACTCCTGAGACCTTCTTGGGTCGAAGCTGAAGGGGGGTCGCAGTTGAACCACACACATGCCGTCTACGCCGTATCTGTGTGGGGATGGAGGGATGCCGTAGTGTGGGAGCGCGTTTGGACCACAAGTCTGCAAGTCATCACCTCCAGCTTCGGCCAATGGGGGACCCTCAGTTCGCTCGGGCTTTTGGAGCTTGGTGCGCAACATGTAGCAGTTGGTTCTCCAAGCATCACTGAAAGGCAGACTTGGGACACGTCCACACTTCCACATGCGAAGCCCAACAGCCTGGATCTTCGCGACAGCCTCGGCCACTTCAGAAAATACGGGGCCTTTACATAAACCCTAAACCCTATCCCTAAACCATCCTAAACCCTAAACCCTCAGTTAGGACTTCGAGGTCAGATGGCAATCCGAACTCTCAACGGGATGGTGCTTGGACCCCACGGTTCACACGTTTCTGCAGTGCCATAGCTGGATGGCATGCGCATCCCCGTTCGGTGCATTTGACAAGCTTCATCCATGATCCGACCATGACCATGCAACCCGAGCATCTGAAAGGGTGCGAAACCTGGCGGGTCGGTGGAAAATCATAGCCCTCCTCGACCTTGGCTTCAAGTGGCACAAGTCTAGCAGGATTAAAACTGAAATCGCCTCCTGTGGCTCTTCAAGAACCATCCAACATCCTGTTGCTTCTCTTCATGCTGTGGCAACAGCATCCCAGAACTTCCAAGAATGACTCATGAACTACCCCACCTGGCAGTCATATAGTCCACCACTATGCCCGGCTCCTTCCACGACTGAACTCACAGGGAGGAAACAGAAAACGTGAAAAGACCAACAAGTCCGTCCCTTGCTGGTGTCATGCCTTCCACGGTTTGCACACTACGTTTTTTTTTCATCGGTTTTATCCGATGATGTTCAAGCTCCTGATGATGATGATCCAACTCCTTCGGTCAATTGCCGCGCGGCCCTTTGGCTCAGGAATTGGACTGCGAAGCGGCCCACGTCCCTTGGAGGACACGGTCAGCCACGTCTGTAGACTCAAGACCACTACGTAGTGACGGGGTTTGTAAACCTGTAAACCTGTCACAGTCGGTCAACAATTGATGCATTTGCCCAGAGGCTCATGGACCCGAACCAACTGCTACATGTTTGAGGTCCCAAACCCTAGTTGTGAGGGTCCAACACTAGCTATGAGGGTCCTTTCTGAGCCTTTGGGTAAGCATCTTCCACTGGGCCCTTGGGTGTCTGGGAGATAGGTCGACCCAAAGCATTTGATGCAAAGAAACCACCCGAGACAACCTCGTCGGAGCAGATCTCTTGGTGTTTGTAAGGGAATATGTCCCCAGACGCGACCCTGGGCCGGTCTGGGGTCGAACCCAATCCCATTTTCAGGGACCGGGAAAGGGCTGTTTTCACGGAGCGTCTGGGTAATTAGGGGAAAAGACGTGTAAAAAGTCTGGGAGCTATGGGGCCATGCCACTGCAATTTTGCACCAAATGTGTCCATGATATGTGTTACCCTAAGGATCCGAAGGCACCCTCCTTAGAAGGGGGTCGAATTCCCTAGAACAAGGGTGTGGGGCCCCTCAAAAGCCTTAGATGTCTTGGATGCGTCACTCTGCGCAGCGCTTCTTCTACACTCCACAACTCACTTCTCTCACAGGTCCACCGGTCGTTCGCCTCGCGGTTGGGCGACTCACCAAGGACCGGAGACATGGACTGCCTCTGTGTGATCTTCGCCGAGGAACACCTGATCTACGCTTGCACCTTCAGCTCGCTTATCAACAAGGCTGCCTGGGCGACCGCAACTGCACATGTGCCGCAACTGCCTGGGGCGTCGACCAACCCGGGCCAGTCGACCGAAGGTTCCTAGCTCGGAAGTCTGGGACCCGATCTTGTGTCTATAGAGAAGAGACAGCCGCTGGTCCATCTTGATCAACTTCTCCTGTTGAAGTTAGCAAGGTTGGGGGACTCAGGCACGCAGATTTTGTGTTCGAAAGAAGAGGAGGCTTCTCCCGAGAATCATCTGAACAGAAAAGGGCCAAGCTCATCCAAGCTCCATGCCGCTTTTGGTCGGGTCAACGGTGTTTGGTTCCAACTCCGAATTCAGGTAGGGTAATTACGTACGTATCCCAGACACTCCATGAGACTGCCATAGGACTGCCGCCCCATGCCATAACACTACCCATAGGTCCATGTCGGACTGCCACCCCATCGACCCCCAGGTCACCCGAACTGATCGGCGTATCTATGGCAGTCCCATGTCCAGGTCGCCTCTGGCATATGTCATTGCCCATATACACTCCATGATCCTCCATGGGACTGGAATAGGACTGCCGCCCCAGACAGACCCCACCAAAACCACCACCCCCCTGTCGGCCGTTTCTCGGCAGTCCGTCATGGCAGTCCCAGACGGGTCGTGGATGGGATATGGGTGGCCACCGTCCACGGATCCGTTCCATGGGACCTGGCGACCGTCCGCAGGGAGCGACCTCGGCGACCCAGAGCAAGGACACCGAGCGGGCCGCGTCCGAGCGCGAGCGCGAGCGGCCTCGGCTCGGCGGGCGAGCTCAGGGTGGAGGGCGCCGTGGAGGGCGATGGAGACGATGCTGAAGTCGACCAAAAGATGAGGAACATCAGAAAAAACCCATGGAATCAATGATAAATCATGATGAATAACGAACATACAACACATGGAATGCAGATGGAATGCACAAAAAGACCACCGAATTGAGGTGACTGGTGACTTTCAATGCATTTTAAGACATAGGGGGGGTGCTCAATATTTTTGGACTTGATGTTCACGCATCTCCAGAATCCACGACACAGCGATATCTTGGATGAAGGTTCGGTGTGTTGGGGGGTTGACGACGACGAAAAACGGAGCGACTTGTGAAAGGAACGTTCTCTTGTTTTTGCGGATCGGGTGATGTCTATTTTCCTATAAATCAATAGGCCAGAGGTGGTGTGGGGGGTCAATGGGGCGGCAGTCCTATGGCAGTCCCATGGAGTGTATGGGATAGCTGACTAAGCCAGCGGATGGATATGTTTGGGAATGTTTGGGAAGGGTATATGTCCCATACACTCCATATATGCTTACATTGACCCCCCAAACCACCCCAACTGATCGGCATATATGGCATACATGGAGCATTTGCGATAGGGTGATTCCCCTTCTGGGAATCTTTTGTACGTAGCGTTTCCCTGTTCCTGGAGAGCAAATCCAAGTTCCTTCAGGTCCTCCAGTGAAGACAGACAGAGACTCAAACAGCCATACTTGCCTTCCTGAGGTCCAGATTTGGTACGGGTTAAGAGACAAGAGTCGCAGAGAAAGTGCGCTTTGTGGTTCAAACATGTTCAAACCTTCAAGGTCATCCGACTCCATTCTGGAAGACAGATTCAAAAGTGGCACACTGCTGACACACGGCAAACACTGACCTTGAAGACACATCGTTCTCCCCAACAGAGAGTGTTGCTGGCAATGATTCATTCGCAGGACGACTACTACCATCAAGAGATGGCCAAGTCCGTGGCCAGAGCATTGGTGCCTTGACTTTTTCTCAGTCGCCGACCCAGAAAGAGTGGATAAGCTGCAAACCTGTGAATTCAGATGGATCAAGATTGGTTTCCCCACTCAAAGCCAGGCAGCAAGTTTGGTTCTTCAACCGTATTTTCCATGGGAAATGGCGAAGTCAGGTCAGATGTCAGACAGGGAGAAAACTGGACCCTCATGTCAAGCTGCATATTGGATGCAAAGAAAGGTGCACAACTTGTTTGTGCAAGCCCGGTGGTGGGAAGGGCAGAAGGGCAGTGCACAAGCTGACTGGGAATTCAGAACCTGGACGATGCTTGAGAGGGAGGACATGCGCAAGTGAGGCAGAGCGAAAGTGCCATTGGTTGCTTGATCAGGGCCATGTTGATTGCCATTTCAGAGAGTCAACACTTACATTTTGAGGATTGAGGAAATGAAAATACATCCTCCCCTTCACAATCATGGAAGTGGACAACCCCTCTTGGTACAGGAAGAGCGTCTTCCAATGGGTCAGGACTTCCACTTCGATGCCCAAACCGTGCCCAAACCGCCATGCGCGTTGGCACACCCTGTACGTCGTGCGTGCGTTCCAGTCGAGAGTGCCCGCCATGCGCACACATTCGAGATCGAACGCAAGGAAGGAGTCTCGTCTAAGGATCCAGGAGCACCCACTGAGAACCATTGTCCCATGCGGATCGACCTCTCTGCCCTTCCGCGCGAGGCGCGGAAAGGGCGGTCGTCCTGGCCGTTGTCGGTGCCGGGTGGTGGCGAGGTGTTGCGATCGGTGTGACGTGGTCCGTAGGAAACATGGAGGAAAGGGATCATGGAAAAGGGATCCGTACATGGAACAGCGAATGGAACATGTCTGAACATGTCATAAACATGTGACTTCTCCTGGTTTTGGTCGTTTCAACCTTAAGGTGAATCTATTCAGTCGAACAGGAGAGACACTTCTTTGAGTCTCGGTGCCTTAAGAAAGCCAAACTGCAGTCCAGTTCGTGTGTTCTCCGCTTCGTCACCGTTCGTCACCCGAGCCAGTGGACCGTCCGTTCAGCACGGGCGGTCTGAGTGCTGAACTGGGAGGGGCGAGACAGGGCCGATGCCTGCAAGAAAACACACTATTCCAGGACCTGTCTCGCCCCGGGAGGTTTTGGACCTCTTTGAAGGTCCTGGTTTTTAGCGGAAGATGGTATACCAGGACCATCCGACCATCGGGGTGTCCTGGCTGGACTACCCCACACTACCGGCTTCCAGACAGGGCACGGTCTCCAGGATGGTCCAGGTAGTAATATGTTGATAGTCATCTTGATATATCTTGTTTGAATTAGTGTGATATATTTGTTACACCATCCAACTCCATGGCACTCCTTTAGGAGTACTCTTCGGTATACTTGATGCTTTTTGCGGGGAGCATACCTGGTCCGAGGTCCGAGTCCGGTGTGAAAAAAAGGCCGGTCCCTGCAGGTCACAGACATGTACTTCGTGGTCTCAGCAGATGAGGGCGAGGAGCCGGGACGGTGCGTCGGTGAGTCTGTTGGTAACGACTACAGTAGAACGCGCTCCACGGGACTGCATTAGATAGGCCGAGAAAAGGGCAGGTGGGGGGTCAATGGGGCGGCAGTCCTATGGCAGTTGCATGGAGTGTATGGGATAGCTGACTAGCCCAGCGGATGGATATGTTTGGGAAGGGTATATGTCACATACACTCCATATATGGAATATATGCTTACATTGACACCCCAAAACTGATCAGCATATATATGGCATACATGGAGCATCTGGGTGTGGAACATGGAGAGTTGTGGGTATAGTACATCTCCAGCCCGCTCTTCGATCTGACTTTCATCTTGGGATTTCAGTCACTCTTGGCCAAACCTTTAGTTTGAGCATCCCAGCTCAACAAACCTTAGTGAACCACACCAGTTCACCACTTGGCTAACCAGTTGTTCCACGTGTCCGGCGTGTGGATCGATGGCCTGTCCGACACAAGACGAAGGGTCAAAGGGCCTCGGCCAACATCCAAGGGAGCGAGACAGAGTCAAAGACCGAATAGAAGACAACATGAAAACCGTTAAGAGCAAAGCGTTCGTTTTTGCATTCCTTCTTTTTTCTCAGTCTCACAATCTGTCTAGTGTAGGGTAGCCCATTGGTGACCCAGCACAGATGATCCTGGACTGTCTTCTAGCGTTCACACGCTAGACTGACATGTGGGTCGCGCATGAAAAAGCCTGTTATAGGAGCTTTCCAGCTATGCCAGCTGTTCGTTGTCCTTGGTAGACCTTGCCCGCGATCAAGAGCTGACCAAGTGTAGCTTGGAATGCACCCGTTCGTTTGTGTTCATTCGATGTTTGTCATGCCTGGCAAGAATGGCTTGGTGGTTGATTTGGGTTTGCTCGTTTTCAGTTGGTCATGTTTGGTTGACACAAGTCACAAGTGGTTGTGTGCTGTAGACAGACGCGGCTTGAAGGGGATCAGAGGCCATTTGTGTTGGGATTGTCATGGTTTGTCTCAAAAGGGCCAACGGCGGTGTTCCCTAGATTCCCTAGATCTTCCAACTGTGCAACATGTGTGCCTTTATCATCAAATTGGGCCGACATTTTGCATAGTTGGACGATCCAGGTTACCTGGACCTGACAAAGTACCTTAGCAAATAGGACAAGACCCTATATAAACACATGAATAATCATTATTATATACAGGTGCTTGTACCCATTTTCCGAGGTACTTTGAGACTCCAGGTAGGAGAGACTCTGCTTGAACAGTGAAGAATCTGGTTATTTGCGGCGAACAAATGCACTGCCCAAGCTTGGATTTGCTTGTACGGAACCGGGAACAAAATATAACAAGATAAGTTAAGACATTACCATGCCAAGGGATTTACCCAATACCTGGGAAAATCAACATGATCTACAAAACCAAGTCCAGGCATATATAGGGACTATAGATGACTATACATAGGATCATCAGAGTCCATGGACCCTTAAAAGTAGGACCCTACTTGTGTCGAGGACACTAAAGTAGGACCCTGGACTCCCAGGGGTATCTATATATACGGAACAAACAGCTACTAGTAACAAGGGCATTACTAACTAGTAACAAGAAGCTACGAACATAGCTCCTGGCATTACTACTAAGTAACAAGAAGCTACGAACATAGTTGCGGAATAGCTTGTAGTCTACGTTCCACGATTGCAGTTGATGTCCCTATACGTTCACCTCTTCGGTCCCGAAATGAGTGGTGCTGGCAGCAGATGACCACCTTGACACGCCACGGATGTATACCATGTAGTATACAAGGTGTATTCCAGTCTCAAAGTACCTTAGGAAAATGGGTACAAGCACCTGTGACAGGGTCTTGTCCTATTTTCTAACATACGAACTGGAGGGTCCGGGTCCAGGTAGATTATGAAGCATGTCCAATGAGCCAAGCTCGTAGGGCCTGTCGGCTCGCCCTCGAAGTGGTTATAACAGGGGGCATCTCTACTAGTAACAAGAACGCTACGAGGGTCGTACTACTGGCATTACTACTGGTCGTCGCCCGGGCCTTCCGGGCGACTGGAAGGAGTTCCTTCGGTTGGTTCCTTTTGGGGGTTGGGTTACTAGTAGAGTCCTTGCTACTAGTAACAAGTGCATTACTACTAGCAAGAAGCTGCGGGGTCGTAGCTTCTTGTTACTAGTAGCGATGTGGGCTTCACACCCTTGTCCTACAAGACGCTCCAGTCTGACCTGCCGTCTCGACGGTCCAGTAAAAGCTGGTCAGTTCAGCTCACTCTGTAAGACGAGTCATGTGAGGTCCGTTTCGGTCCGTCGTGTGAACGGTCTTCCAGTCGAACATCGGATGGAGATGGGACCGATGGGTCTCCGGGTCTCCAATAGCCTAACCTCCGTCCATCGGATGGAGACCGGTATTGGAGGTAGGGTTTGGGTCTCCAAGAGAGGTTGAGAGACCTTATAGAACCCCATAGTGGTATGTATGGGATGGGCTATAAGTCTCTCTTGGCTCCAATACCCTGCCTCCAAAAAGATTGGAATCTTCCGGAACTCGCTGGTCGGGCACCGATGGAACCACGGATGCTCCAAACTTGGTGGAACGGATTCCCTCAGGAACGGCCCGTGGCTTTCGATTTGACCCCCCCAATCTAAAAGCACAGGAGTTTGGTGGAGTTCACGTGCCGTGCCTCGTTGGTCAAACGCAGCTTCGTTGGGGAAAACACTTTTGGAAGATCAATCCCATGACAGCCCGCTGTTTGGGCCTGCCAACATGGCCTTAACCTTGGGTGGCATTGTTGGGTGCATTCTGTAGGGCCATCCTGGCGCCTCTCAGAGCTTTGCGGACGAAGAGTGGAGTGTTGGCTTTCGCCCTTTCGACGGCCGATTGGAAGCAGGTGAAGTGCCACCACCGAAAGCCCAGAGCGTGCCTCGGCGCTAGGACCGGACGGACCGGACGGTGAAAGCTCCTTCAAGAAAACGGCAGTGTACGTGCTCCGAGGTTCATGGCTACTGTAGAGTCAGAGTCGTTCCTGACCTCATGAAATACTGGACGATGGTCTATACAGAAAGACACTATACTCATAATACTCATGGAGGTTTCACTTGGACCAGCTTTGGGTCAGACTGGACTTGTCGGGACAGATCTTGTACCGGTGTTTTGTCTCGGGTCCAGAGTCCAGAGTAGATGAGATGGGGAGATCCATCGGAACTTGGGTCGCCAACGAATTCACCTGAATTTGGAGCACACAACGTCGTCAAAAGGGCAAAGCCCACTTCTTTCGGTCAAGGGACGTCATGTCGGGCTGCTTTTGGAGAAGCCAACGAACACCTAAACACCCAAACACGATGCGTGGAATGTGTTCAAGGAAGAGAGAAGATTGACTGCCTTTGCGATCGGCTCTGTCAGGGTTCCTACCCCAGACCATCCAACTGAACCAGCACCCAACTCAACCAGGTCTCCGAAGCGGTGGATCCCCTGGTTGCCCAGTTGTCACCTTGGTTGCCTGGTTGCGGAATGTCACCGTCTCAGTATACAGCAGCCGGTGCGCACAACCAACGTTGGCTCCATTGGTTCACCCTGAACGTTCCCAGTTGGTGGTGTGCTCCCTGACTCGCCACGACAACGGCTGGGTGGTCCTCTCCGTGAACGCTCCAGTGCACCTGGGCGGGGCGCGCACCTCGGGCTCGCATTTTGGAGGGCCCGTTGCTTCGCTCTGCTCGGGCTAACAAGGTTCGCTCCGAGTACAGGGCTCCTGGCATCGCTACGAACGGAGCAAGTAGCTACGAACAAGAAGACCATCTCCGACCATTCTTTGGAAGTCACTCACCAAGAAGGTTCGAAAAGGAGGTAATGTAGACTCTTGATTAATAACCCCCTTTTGAATTGGAACACCTCTTCATAATATGGGGGGGGGTTATTAATCAAGAGTCTACCTGGACCCTGGGCCCAGACAACGGTCCAAAATTCCATGTTGTTCACCGGCAGCTTGGCGGTTGACATGTTGTTTGAAGGTGCTGGACTGGTGGACAGATTCCCACGAAGCATGGTTATGCCTCTTTGCACGGAAATTCCACTCCCAAACACGACCTGTCTGGGACTGGCAGTCCGGACTGCCGAGAAACGGCCAGGGGTGTTGGCAGGGGGTCAATGGGGCGGCAGTCCTATTCCAGTCCCATGGAGTGTATGGGATTGAACTGGACAAGTGGATCTCCTGGCCCCTTTAATTGAAAGTCAAAGGAAACGACAGACGTGTCGCTGTGGCACGTGTCGTTACCGCTATGCGCGTCACTCAGCTGACCATCGCCATCGCTAGTAGTAGGTTGGAGGCCATCGCTATTATGTTAAAGAAAAGCAAGTAGTTTGGAGGTTCTGGGTGTTTTGCTGCCCACACGGTGGCACCACAGTCTATTGGAGACCCGGCAAAAAATAGCGAAAAGAGCTGGTGCAATTCGTAGGGAAGAACATGGGTGGCTTGGTCCTGAGGTATCTAGACCCTGGCCTTCAAAGACCATTAAAAGAAAGGTTGTCCTGCAGTTGTCCTGGTGTTGTAGTCCAAAGTCCAAAGTCCTTATACAACCATTATGGTTCTTTGGGATTCAGACAATTACAAAAATATTTTGTTTGTTGAATCGCAGGGTATTAGGGTTCAGGGGTCATTCCGACTCATTCCCTACATTTCCCTACTTTTCAGCAGCAATCAGGTGGCAAAAGCATGGGCGCCAAACACGATTTCACGTCCTCCAAAAAAGGATCCAAATTGGTCAAACAGTCAGGAAGATTCGAGCCCATCCTGGACACCTTAGCAGAGCGTCAGAGTCGGCACCTCAACTGGGAGCGACGGAGGGACTTGCTCTACCTGCGAACGCTCCACAAGTGCCTTGGAGAGGAGGGATGTGGCGGAGATTTCCGCGGTGAAGGGAGGAGGCAGGGCTCAGAGATATTTGAAGGGAAGGCTGAGAGTGATGTTATATATGATGATTGTTTCACAGATGATCAATCCCATTACACTGGATTTGTGATGTTTGCACGTATATTGTCCTGATCGATGTGATATGTTGCACCTCCACTTGAAGACTCAGGGAGTTTCGGCAGTGAGGTGTACCGTCTCAGTTCGTAGCTTTGAACCTAGTACGTAGAAGTGAAGGAACAAACAAAACGCCTCCAGATCCTGGACTTAATAGAGACGTGCCACGAAATTACACACCTTCCAAGAGTCTAGCAAAACCTAGAAAGACCTTGCCACTTAGAGAGACCTTACTGACCTGGCGTTTCAGGTAGACCAACCATGACCAAGTCAGTGGGTCAAAACAGGAAAACCCTGGTTAGTTTTTCCCTCCGAACATGAGCAGAATACCATGGTGCCATGACCCACAGCTGACATGACCAAGTCAGTAAGCACTGAAAGCACGCGGAGCTCAGGTGTGGTCGGATGGCCCGCTGCAGCGACGCGGAATTCGCCGTGGTCATGCACAAGGTCATGGAACTGCCTGTGGCGGTCTTTCAGTTTTTCATGAAGTTCATTTGAGCCGGGAGAAAAGTTGAAATGGACCAAAACAAAAAACAGAGAAGCAACATGTTGGCTTGTTTTTAGAGGAGCAAAAACGTGTGAACAGCCAAAACATGGTCAAGAAGGTAGACGTTGTGAAGCAAGTTTGGTAGTGCTCAAGTTGAGTGCACCTATTGTCCAAACATGTGGATGGAGGACTCTGAGGTCCTGTGGCCTATGGTCCTATGTAGAACCAGAACCTTCCAAGTGACCTCAAACCAGTGTACTCGACCTCTTTTAGAATGTTCAGTGTGATCACGTGGATATGATGGATATCACCCAAGTTAGTCCCACCCACTCGGTGTGATGCTGTAACCTGAAAAACCTTTTTGGAGGCTTGGTTTCCCCATCTTTCACATGAAACAGATGGAGAAAGGTGACTGTCCAAGGAAACTGAGGGTCCCTCAGTCTCAGACTGTGCTTTTCACGGCCAAATGAACCACAACATTGCTTGGGACGCCACCTGCGCGCTCGCGATGCTGCGCAGAAGTGACGGTCTCAGACCAAGCGAAGCTTCGCGCTCTTCTTCGCGCGGAGAAGCGGGCCGCTCGTCCCGTTTCACTGGCCTCATGACCCAAAGGACTGCCGGCCATGGGGCTTCCAAACTAGGTGATCTCAGTCCCACACCAGGCTGGATTGCTGCGTGCGCATGCGCGCGCGAGCGCACCATGCTCGCTGTGCCACCACTGGTGGCTCGGACGCCTGCAAATGGAAGACCGAAGGCACGAAAGAACGGGCCAGATTCTGGGGAAGGGTCTTAAACAACGATCATTGCATATCGTTGCTTTAATTTACGAAGGATTTGACACTACAAAACCAGGTATAAATGTAATACTAAATGCTTTTAATCGTTTTTGAAGGCGAGAACCGGTATACTGGTGGCTAGAGGGCAAGAGCTCGGGCTACCTGAAATAGCTAGCAGTTGAGGTCGACATCAGATGTGATGTGCTCCTACCAGGGGCCCGAAGCAAACCATGAAAAACACAGGTTTTCACATACAGAAACCATGGTTTTTGCTAGGGAAAACCAGGTTCTTGATGGTTTGTGGGGCCCCTGAGATGGCCCCTGGTACGTACTCCTACGACACTTCAATGTGGCCTCATCAGGGTTGACATCTATTTGACTGCCAGGCAGTATACGGGCGTTTCGGCAGGGCGGCGGACATGTTCAAGCCCTGTGATGTTGACTGTTCATGAAATCAACCCCCCCTATACTCCCCCCTATATACGGGAGATGTTAACACCGTTTTGCTTAGGGCGATGTGTTTTTCTTCCCCGAACTGGGATTCATCCCCTCCTGGGGAAGGTTTCTAGTGTTCTCCAGATGAACGGCAACTGGAAGACTGTGCAGTCGAAGAGTTTTGTTTCATCCATGAAGACAGCTCAAGTCCACAGAGTGGGTGCACGAATTCGTTGGTCTCGGACCAGCTCCCGACGACGCGACCCGGGGGCGGGGTGTGAGGGACCGGGAGACACCGAAGGACTCGGGTCTGGGAGACAGGAAGAGGTTCGGGGTCGCGTCGACGGGAGAAGACGTCATTTGGAGGATCCCGCCTGATCGTGTCGAAAACACCACAGGTGATCCGGATCCTTCCGATCGCACCTAAGCTGAACTCAGCCACCACCCACAAGGGGTGGAGCTGAACATGGAATCGCCACGAATCAAATCGCAGGTGGAGGGGTGCCCATGGGACTAAAAACCACCCCGACATGTGACACTGGGTACCAGGACCTTCCGAAATCGCCCGGTGGTTTGGGACACCCCGAATCACCTCTGAGGAGTATATGATACACACCCCGAAGGGAAGAAACCCTGGAAGTCACTCCAGTCGGCGATTTAAACAGAAGTTGACTGACTGGAGTTGACTGAACACGACTCGGGGTTGCGCCGCGTTGCGGCACCAATCCGTCGTTGACTTCGAATGGGGTAACAATATTTCATACCTGGAGCGCATGCCTGGAGCATAGGGTAGTCTAGCCAGGACACTCAGACAGGATGATCCAGGGTATTTTCCAGTTAAATTGAGGGAGTCAGTGGATTCGACTTCAAAGGATTTAGCGTGATGAAAGCATTCAGCTCATACAAGTCTTTGTCAACAAACTGCAACGAATGGAACACTGAGATTTGCTCACCCCCTGTTCCAGAACGCAATCCAGGCTTGAAAAAGGCTCTCCTTTACCTGGTGTCACTGGTGTGAGTTCTCTCGCAGGCGGTTCCCATTGGTCCAGTGGGGGAGGCGGTTCCCATGCTGACAGGGGGAACAGACTCAGAAGAATCTGATGATGCAACATGATGCAGCAGCCGCATATACCTCATATTTGTGTGTTTCCCATGACCTGTAAAAGATAAAACAAAATTTGATTATCACTATTTGTGAGGATGGCCTTTACTGATCATCATCATCATCATCATCATCATCATCATCATCATCATCATCCACTGGGCCCAAGGTGTCACCCAACACAATGACTTGGTGCGAATCCTGTTCATGCGGTCTACGCTGCGACCCAAAAAGCGCCGCGCAGCGTTTTTACGTGACAAAAAAAACAGCACAAGGGCCAAAGGCTCAGAGTGCAGGCGTTTGAAAAAATGGATGCGGCGTTTGGATCAGAAGGCATCCCCACAAGAGGCGACACGTGTTGGTCCTTTGACACCCTCAAAGTACTCCTAAAGGTCCTTAAAGGAAGTACCTTAAGTGCCTGTTTTGAAAAGGGCATGTCCCATGTTCTAGGGTGCACACTGGAGGGTCGAGGTATAGATGGCACCCTTGGTGAGGAAAGCAAATCTCCTGGCATGTCACAAGTCAAAGCAAAGTCATTGCAGATTCTGATCCGGAAATTGATGTGGTCTGTGAGGCGGATGTTCATTCTGATGTTCTCACTAGTTGTTGTTCCGCACTTGCTTCGCTTGCTTGATCAGACAGGTGGGTTTCTTGCTTTGGCGGTATTCAGGTGATGCTGATCTTCCCGGTTCCTAGGTGAATCCGGGTGGCATGGGGAGCTGTTTTGGTTGCTACCGATGGCATGGGGAGCCGCCACTAATCCGTATTTCCCCAACAGCCTGGCACGAGATGCTTGGACGAAGTCTATAGTAATGTCTATAGTATAAGTCCGGTTGAAGGATATATAATTAATTTGTGTGAAACCACTTTGGGCGAACTCTCTTATGCAACTCCCAAAAATAGACTGTTGGGCACAGGGTGGAATCGTGACAGGAGTTGACCAAGTCAGAGATTGCCAGGCCGCTTCGTTTTAGAGTGCACACGGTGTTTGGGATACTAGCTGGTGTCTCGGCCTACATTGCATTGGAACGACCTCGCCTGGTTTTTGTTGCCACCCACCTCATCTCCAGGCAGTGTCGAGGGTGTTTTCCTTGCGAGTCAAGGGCTAGGAGCCAGAGATCACCTCCATTCAGACAATCACAAGTCAACTTTCAGAGTTTCTTGGACATTTGCATCCCTCGACTTGCACCGCTATTTTCCATTCCGCAACGCTCCAAACCACGATCCAAGAAACACCAAGCCACCAGCCATACCACCGACCAGGATACCCATACGCTCGATCTTCGTCGGGGAACGAAGGAACGATTCCTCATCGATGAAATTTTGGCAGGCATGATCTGCCGGGAGGACTTTCATCAAGCGATTCAGGGGAAGTACGGCGAGTACAAGCCCACCAAGGCAAGAAAAGCAGCAGATGGATGGGGTGGTCACCAGTAATTACAGGCGAAGTTCAGACGGTCAGACCGTTATTTTTTTCAGCAGCTTTCCCGTACGGTGAACCACCGTACGGCAAGAGATGGAGAAAAAAAGGACGGCTCCAAAAACCTAGGGCCTTAGGGGGTCAATAAAGCTGGACCTGACTTGAAGTACCGAAAATATGACATGTTGAATGTTGCATAGTTGGAAGATCCAAGAAATAGATTTGCATGCCATCCAAAAACCTGTCCTAATCTAGTTCGTTGGGCTGGGGCGCTCAAGGCCAGACCCCAACGGAGCCGGCAACGGTGGTGAGGTGACAACCGCCAGGGTTGTGAGGACCTTCCTTCTGTGGTCACTGACCAATCCTGAAAAACTGGTCAAAGACTACTTTCCTTTACAAACAGGGGATTTTCCACTTCGTGTTAGTGAGTCAGAGTATAAAATCTGGCAAACATTCTGCTCAACATTCTGGCAGTGGTAGCGACAGGGAACCTGGAAGAGCGATACATAGCGATACCTCAGAACGACCGGCGCATCCACACTGACACCGGCGCAATGCCCAGCTTCTCGGTGTCGGTGTCACTTGGTCCAAGCTCCCCAAACGCCACCCGTATCTGGCGGGTGGCCGACCATGGGTCAACGGTCAGAATGTTGTGGGACTTTCTACCTGGACCCTCCCAAGTACCCTAGAAAATGGGACATCAATCACCATAAAAAAAGCAGGTACTCGTAACTTCTACCGTTCTGAAGTACTTTGAGACTCGTCGTCTTCGCACTTCCCAAGCCCCCCCCGGACCACCGCTGCCACGCCGCACTACACCGCTGCACTTCACCGCCGAACTTCGCCGCGGCCAGGGCTTCTTCGAGGCCTGCGTGGTCTTCGCGGACGCCAGCGGCTTCACCGCGCTCACCGAGGCCTTGGCGAAGCAGCCCCACGGCGACGCTCGGCGGGCGAGGGCTGGGGAGAGAGGAGAACGTTTCTGACCACCCAGTGTGGTACCACCCAGGTGGCGACCAATAGCGGGTGAAGGAGAAAGTGAGAAACGTGGCATGTGCCGACTTTTTTTTCATGTGCCGACGTTGTGACGTGGTTTTCATTGTGACGTATGACTGCAAATGTCTGGTGCCAACGTTTGATGGTTTTGGGGTGGTTTTCATGGCCAATATCAGAGCATTTGGGGGTGACTGAGTGAGGGGAGGGTGGGTGATTCGTAACTATGGACCATCAAACAGGGCTTGTCGGTTGTCATGAGACTAGTGAACTATAGACTGGAATCAACGTAACTGTAATGTCCTTCAATCTTTCAGCTTTTGGTGTAAGACTCTTCTTTTGGGTGGCGGCTCTGCCCAGAAAGCCTGGGCAGTTGTTTGACATGTGTTCCAATATTTACCAGGGAAGTTGGGGGGTAACTATCTCTGTTTCTTTCGCCATAGCCATAGTTGGTTTCTGGCAGTGAACATGCCAACGGCTCTTGTTTGGACCGATCTATGCGGTCGACCGGTCTGTGGACGGCGCAAGCATTATGGCGACGAACATACGTTGTGATTGGCTTCCCCACATGGATTGGTTTACAGGGAAACATAGACCAGTTTCTGTGCAGGTCCCTGTAGTTGGGAGTCAAAAACCAGACAGTATGAATGTGCTGAGGCTGAAGAGATTGGTTCCTGTTTGAACGGTTTCTTTGGGACGCTCATCGATATCATCACTCGCTTCTTGGACCAAAGATGAGCCATCATGACACAAACCTTGGCTTCTTGATGTGTTCAGGTGGTTCATTGTATGGATTTCTTGATATGATGCGCATGATGTAGTATAGTGGCACGGACATGTACGTTCAAACGTGAAGAATGTTAAGATTGAGGCAAAGACTCCTACTCCTACTATAGGCACAGAAGAAGTCCTCTTGGGCAACCATGGGTTGACACTGGCACATCTTCTGATCCACCTGCGTCAACCCCCAGGCAAGTTGGAGGGATTCAATGCCCTCATCCCACCCTAACTTCAGTGTCAGTTCGTTGGGGCCAAGGTAGCTTGAGTATAGTGAAAGGTATAGCTTCACGATATTGGGGCCGTCCGTCTCAACCTTCTACATGGAAGGTTCATTCCAGACGTTCCATATGCCGATCAGTTGGAGTGGTTTTGGGGGGGGCAATGGGGCGGCATATGGTAGTCCCATTAGTCGTGTCTGGGTTCTATGGAAGGTTCATTCCATACATGTTCGGTCGCTTTTCGGCATAGGCCGGATGATGTCACATGGGGTTGGTCCAGACTAGCTCCGGAAGCTCCTATTGCGTCATGGGTCAGCTGCTGATCTGACCCAGATGCTGAACTGAATTCTTTGGGCACACCCCTACAGTCACCAGACTAGCCATGACCAACCATCTGCGTGAGTGGATCGAGCAGATAACCATGCCATCCCGACTGAAGGAAGGCGGCCACGAGTGGCCCGTACCGGCGTGTTTGCAAACTCATCCTTCCGAGTCCCCTTCGGCCTTGTTCCTGTGCTCCCGACAGGTTCCCTGGATTCTTCGGCAAAATCTTCCCCTGTTCGAGGGGTGATCCAGTTACCACTATATAGTCCCTATACTAAAGGCGTAACAGTAGGTTCCACTATAGTCCGACCAGTGCGCCACCTAAAAACGAACGGAACCGGGCGCCTGGTTCCTGAAAAGAGGGGCAGTTTGCTTGGGATTCACTCTGTGGCGCCATGGATTCTCGAGTGACTGTCGACGATTCGATGTCCACCCTCCGAGAAGCCGGTCTTTTCCCGCCGGTCGGGGAGCAATTCTCCCGAAAGATGTCACCTTAAGAATCAAGGACCCTCAAGAGTTGAGGGTTTGGAAAGGTCCAAACCCTGCAAAATGCAGGGTCCAAACCCTCGCAGTCCCATGGATTCTCAGAAAGAATAGGGGGGGCCCATCCCCCTCACATCGACTTCCCACATGCAAGCATGTGCGTCTATCCCATCTCCATCCCCCTCCCATCCAACCTTGGGTGAAACCAACCGCCCGCTCGCGAACTCCGGTGCAGACTACGGTGGGGACGTTTTGAAGTTCAGTGGGGATGCGGTGACCATCCTTTGGAAGGTCCTCCCAGGCGCGCGTCGTGCGCACACGCGTCCTTCACGGTGCTCGACGGTCGGAGCTTTCCGCGCTCAAAGCCCGCGCCTCGGCGGGTCCGCGGTGGCGGGCTCGGTGGTCTCGTTTGGGCTTCTGAATCCCGAAGAAGTCCAAAGACTATATTTTGACCGGCTGAAGGTTTCAGGAAGTTCCCTTTCAGGTCCCCTAGTCAGACCATTCTTTTTATAGTCTTTGACTCCTAGGGAATCCCGAAGGAACCATTATTATGTTTGACGTATACAACAGGCCAACCGAACTCCTTGAAAGGTCGAACCGTCTTTGGCGAACGGGGGGGTGGCGCGCACAAAGGCTGGTGCGCGTGACGGACGGACGGTCGCTCAGGGTCCCAAGCAAATCGTAGGTGTGGCATCCAGACCGGTGCCGAATTGGTCGTTGGTTCATGTTGTTTCAAGGTATCAGAAAGCGGACCAACAACTTCCGGGTGACGGAGTTGAATTGACGGACGGGTGGAACAGAGGGTCAAAAGCTCAGATCCATGTGTTTTGCAAGACATTTGCGTGGCAGAGCCTTCGTAATATTGGATTTCAAGGGTGGTTCGTTGGAAGTTCCAACCACGGGCTTTGAAAGCGCTGCTCCCACGAGCCCCGAACACTGTGCCCTCGCCTTCCTCGACCTTATAAACAAAGGTGGTTACACCTCGACCTTATCTTTCTTACAAACAACCTTTGTTTGACGTTACCATCCTCCGGCCCAGGTACAGATCTCAGATTGGGAAGGTTTTCATGCATTCTGGAGCTTGGCTGGGGCATTTTTTGGCCCAGGCTAGATCAGCCTTTGCAAGCCCCACATGGGGGCTTGGACGTTTATCGGATGTAGATGTGGTTGGATATGACCTCATGAGATCTCATGAGCAGGTTGGCCTGCATAGTTGTCAGTTAAGTATTCGCAACAGTGTTCCAGTCTAGATCCTGTTACCCTGTTCAATCTATTCGGTCCCAACTGGCCATGGTGGGATGAAGCGAGCACTGGCCATATGCCCTAAGCTTAGACTTTGCTAGCTACCGAACAGGCATCAAATGGGTGGTCAAACCAATGGGTAGTCGTCTTTGATCAAGGCCAATTGGAGCGTGAGAATGGAGACGACATCATCAACACGGATGCCTTGGGTGCGCCCCATCCTGGCCATATGTCTCTCTCTCTCTAGATCTCTCTCTCTCTCAGTTTTGGATTGATCGAGTTGTCGAGTTGATTGAAAGAAAGAGACCTATTTGGATAAGTAGTCAGCCAGTCTGCACACACGCTCGCTGAAGCTGATGGTTGAGAAACGCTTTGCAATTGTTTTGGTCCGACAGGTGTGTGACTTTGGCTGGTGTACACGATCTGCTCTGCATGGTTCAAAACCACCATTCACTCACTCGCCCTTGGTCACAAGAAGGCCCTTGTCGTACCCGCACGATCCTTTTTCCTGTGTGACGCGATGGATGCTCCAGCATATGTGAGCAAGAAGTTGGACCCGCACCAGGTGAATTTGGTGAAGGAGGGAATGTGATAAACCCCAAAATAGTGGCATTTTTGTTAATTCAAGCAGCCTCATGAGTGTGAGCTAGATCGATCGATATGTTTGTCTAAAAACCTGGCCTATTTTTGTGTTATAGAAGTGCGCGCTCATCATCGACAGGAGTTCCTCCGCACCTTTTGCAGCGATGACGACTTCATGCACCAAAGAAGGAAAGCTCTGCGCACACGGGCTGGGCTCAAGGATTCTGACAGGCATCTAGTTCAGGCCTCAAGCCATCTGCACAATGTTATAGAGATTCGTTTGCGTTGCAAATCATGTCAAATGCATGTGCATGTGCTTTATAGTCGAGGGACCACCATGCGATGGTGTGCAACTTCATTCAATTCACATGCATGCACGCATGCATGCACAGCATTTGTTCAAAAGACTTCCTGTTGATCATGTCGTGTTCATACCGCCATGTGATGCACCAGCCAATGAGGTTCCAAAGTTTCGCTTCGTGGTCTTGGAAGGTAAGCACATTGGTGAGCATGAGGCAGGAGGGCCTGTCTAAACTACCAAATTTGCTGCATTCTGTACAATTAATTGAATGAACCGAGTGAACTGGATCGATGCATCAACAAATCAGCTAGCTGGTATCACTGTGTGATCCGGAACTGCCAGGTTGAGAGTGATCACAACTATGAGCTGGTGTTACAGTACATGGCAAGTTTTGCGCACCAGTTACCTCGGAAACGGGAGCTGGAGGAGAGAAGTGCATCATACCTTGTTTAAATTCAACCAGCTAGTATTCAACATGTGTGACTACATGTACTACTTGGGAGACTTGATTGCTAGGAGGCGCTTACTTGGTGTTCCCAACACTTCAAGCTCAACCCCTGGAAAAAGCTGGACCGTCACCAGGAGCATCTTGAACAGTATTTGCTCAAGCGATGCCTCTTTCTGCCTTGGGGGCCTAAGCCTGCGGACAACGCACGCAGGACTGGGCTAAAGTCGAGGCTGGCCTGATGTACAAGGTTGGATCGTACTGCATGGACCGCTTTCAAAGAAACCCAGGGACACGGCCATGAACTCAGATCAAATCCTGATTGGATGCTAAAACGCGTTTGCAATGTACTAAACATGTTTGTTTTCCATGTTGCACACAAACCACGCATGCATGAATGCTGCATGATGTGCGACGCATCATTAATTCATGTGTTGCAAAGGTCTGGGCATGCTCGGAGCGAAAGCATCAAAGATGTTATCAAGGCGAAGTTGAAGGCATGTGTTCATGACTGTTCATGAGTTCATGCAAGCTAGCATTCATTGATTCAGAGATATTCAGGGTTGGTTTCTGTGAGAGCTGTCAATGTGAGCTTTTGTTAGAAAAACGATGAATGCATGAATTTCTGAATTAATTAATGCGTTCGAATTCGTGTATTTTCATTTTTACAACACTTGGCGGGCACAGGCACATGATCTGCTTACTCCGGAGGGGAAGCGTGTTGCATCCAGGGGACGTGGGATGTCCAGAAAAAAGGAGGACAGCATCAATTGAAAGTACATTGTGTGTGTTGTGGCGTCATCATGTTATAAGAATGGAAGTCTACCAACTATATTATATAGATTATAATATAAATTTTAAAAATCTATTCTATTACATGTTATTGTTTGCTTTCAAAGCTTGAGTGATGAATATATCAGATGTTGTGCGATCGTTTAATGTGTAACAACCCGAAACGACGCCAGGAGTTGAATCTGGACACCGCGAAGACAGAGTCAATGGAGTGGACCGATTCCCAGATCCCGGAAGAGCCAGCCTACTCACCCATTCAGCGGATGAACTCCTTGAATTCTCCTGAGCCTACTGCTGCTTTGTCCAGGGCATGTGCCAAATCATGTCTTGATCTAGTGGAAAGTATAGTGTCTGATTCGGAGTCAGAACATGAGTCGGTCTTCCAGGACAATGACACGATACAGATTACTTCAGATGATGAGTGCGTGATGTCACCGAACCCAAAAAGGATTGGGCATGATGCCCCCCAATGATGAACCCGAAGTTGCACGGAATGCAGGGGAGCCAGTTTTGGTGGTGCCCCCAAACCCCATCCCAAAGCCAGTGGAGCCAAGCCCTGAAGCCGTACTGCCCAATGTTGAGGTCCCAATCCATCCACTGCCAAGTGAGCCAGGGAGGAAACCAGATGTTCCTGAGGAAGCAGGTGAATCGCTGCTTGAACAGGTTGCGGAAGAAACAGAACGTTTGCAGGAGGAATTGGGCAGCGAAGGGGAGGAGGCTAGAGCAGGTGCTACATACAAGGTGCCCTGGCAGATTTTATATATATATTATATACTAGCCTAGTTGTTTGATGTATAAGTGCACTTGTTGATGCGAATGGAAGGTTTGGTATTTATAATCCCAAATGATGACTTAATTAACAAGCGCATCGCATTGTATCATGATGAGATTTGCGTGGGTTGAATGGCGTGATCTGTTCAGTTGCAGTGTGGTACACACACAATGTAGTTTGCTATTTGCATGGCACATGCGTCAATCAATTAATTGATCAATTAATTTTTATGACCAATATCGTGCATGCATGCATGCGGCGCGACGTGCTTAGGAACGTGGTTCCCTGGTTCCAACGCCAGAGATTCCTGCGGAGATTCAGGGAGCTTTCAAGAAGGCATTGGAGGAAGAGAAGGGGTCCACGGATAAAGAATTTGGTGATGAAATCTTGAAGGCCTGTCAGCTCACATGGCACATATTGGAGATCAAGTCTGAGCATATTAATTTGGTTCTTTTCTAATCAATAAAAGACACGTGTGATGCGATGTTGGGGTAGCTCTCATGACACAAGTTCAGCAATGTCACGATCACGGTTTGGGCTATTGCTTGTGCGCACGTGTGCATGTGCGTGTGATACATATAGCGCAAGGCACAGCGGGTACTACGAAAGCTGATGAAAGAAGGAGAACGCGAGGGAAATGATGTAGAGGATCCTGATAAGGCTTATGCGGCAGAAGCAGAGGAGGAGGAAGAGGCAGGAACGAATAAGAGTCGAGGAAGGGGCAAGGGTCGAGGAAGAGGAAGAGGGAGAGGAAAGACTGAGGCGGCTTCGTGTGCAAAGGCTAAGGCTAAGGCCAAGTCAAAAGCAAAGACAAGAAAGGGGCAGGAGGAGAAGACTGAAGAAGTTGTTGAGTTAGTGGAGCCTGGATCGGGTGGCCAGGATGCAAAACAAGAAGTGATCGAGATAGAGTCGCCCTTGAAGAAACCAAAATTGAGTGAGACCAGCCCAGTGAAGCCAAAATTTGCCAGCCCTTCAGCTCGTCGCATGCTGAAGCAATCTGCCAGTACCACCGGGTCTGCAGCGTCTTCGAAGAGGCAAAAGACTGAAAAGACTGGGGAGGAGAAGGAGGTCAAAGAATCCGTTGAACAAGGAACCAATGGTAAGGAACAGGATGAACGCAACCGCAAGGCTGATCAAAAGAATGAAGAATTCAAGATCAAACAGGAC